AGTATCACAATTTTTGTGTATATGCATATCCATGGAATCATTAATATTTAAGATCTTCGGTTTTTATTTGCTATTATTATCCTTATTTATTGCTATAGGCTTTTTAAAACTAGAAAGAACTTGACTCAAATGTGCTTTCTGAAAAATGTAGTAGCTGCAACTGTTTGATAAATTACTCTCTTGTTCTAAAAACTTTTCATCCTTCATTTATTACTCACTTAACAAACGGTATCTAATGCACCAGTAGAATGAGAGATTAAACTCTTGACTTTATATTCAGTTGTAAAGCATGATGGTCATTTTAATTGGAATACATCTTTGGAACTGAGATAAGGCCCTTTTTATGCCATAGTATAGGCCAGTGGTTCTTAAACCCAAGGAGCATCAGTAATTTCCAAGGGGTATGAGCCCTTGAGAAAAAGCAAGAATTTCTCAAATTGTGTTTGGTAATCTCTGAATGAGAGCATGGCATTATCATGGCCTTGAAAACATGTAGCTTGGTCCTGCGCATGTACTGGCATCTCCAAATACTCTTGTCGAGAGAGTTCATGACCTCTGCTGCCACAGCAGTCCATCTGCTGAATTCCTTGTCAGACAACCCAGAGTTATGAACTACACTACCAAGGTTAAGCTCTCTGTGACTTCATTGTACTTGCCGCAAGTAAGTACCAATTGAACGGGTTCTCCTGGCAAGTCCCCAGAATCCTGGATCTTGGTCCAAGAGACCTCTATACCCAGGGGCTTTGCTTCATTGCTAAATGCATCCAGAGCCACCACTAGGGTTTCCAAAGACTCAGATAGAATAGCAACATCAGTAAAGTTAAAGTCGGTAACCTTGATATTGCCCAGAGTTGTTCCACAATGACTTTGGATAGTAGTTCTGCCCAGTATCCATTCCATGCAAGTGTTGAAAACTGTTGGTGCAAGGACACAGCCTTGCCTCACCCTTGAAATAACAGGAAAGAAGCTAGGCAGGCCCCTACCACACTTTAACAGCAATTTCAGTATACCAGGATATACAGGCTTGCTATTAATCCAATAATCCTTGTTGGAATTCCTCTCAATCTCAGGATCTCCCAGAGTGATTCCTGATGCACCAAATCAAACCCCTTCTTAAGGTCAATGTAGGCTTCAAGCAGCCCATGCTTGAACTTATGGTGGCACTCTACAATGACTTGAAGTGCCATGATGTGGTCTACTGTGGACTTACCAGGAGTGAATCTATATTGCTCTGGCCTATGGTACCTCAGCAGGTGGGCTCTGATATGTCTCAGAAGGATGTGAGTGAGAATCTTGGTACACTTGGCAGTGTGATGCCTTGGTGGTTGCTGCAGTCCCATCAATCCTCTTTCCCCTTCCAGAAACGGATGACTAAACCCTTCCACAAGTCAGAGGGAATGTAACCAGACTGCCAGATGGCAGCCAGTACAGTATGCAACCCCCATGCCATAGATTCACCACCAGCCTTTAACAGATCAGTTGGGATGCCACAGATACCTGGAGATTTCCTCTTATTCTTAGTTAGGGAGGGTGGATCCACACTAATGGGTGGGTCCAGCAACAGAATCTCGACATTACCCGCATCCAAGTTAACTATTGGTGGATCAACCTGGTACAGCTCAAAATACTCGGCCCAATGCTCCTGCACTGCAACAGGATCTGAGACGACCTGGCCATTTACTACGTCGACTGCAGTCACCTGTGAAGAGGGCTTGAAATTCAGCTTTCTCAGGGCCTGGTAGACAGGATGAAGGTCATTTACTAAAAAATGGCCTTCAACTTGCTCTGCTATATTCCCAACAAACTGCTCCTTGTCCCATCTCAACAGTGACCAAGTCCTGCGCACTAGAGAATGATGCAATTCCCGATCCCCTGTCAGATAAGGCACACGACAAGCATCTGTAGCTTTGAGCGTGTCCTGCGAGATAAAATTCTGTCTTACTCTTGGGTGTTCACCAATCGATTCTTGAGCTGCATTGAGTGTTTTGCGCGTGAAGGTGTCCCATAGAACTACGGGGTTCGTCAGGTTGTTGAGCACCATAAAACCACCAAAAATTACCTCAGCAAACCCCCGGACAGACTCCCCTTCCCTCAACCTGTCTATAATACTGAATCAAAATATTCCCAAAGGGAGCATAGAAGTCTACAGTCGCCACATCTATTTCATTACAAAAATACAATTAAGGAAGACTTATCAATGAGATATGTATATTTAAGACCAACATTTATTCATTCTTACAAATAATCAAAATGAAACTGTAACTTAGAGACTGTGAGCAAAAGCCTTATGAAGTCAACCCTTTTGTAGACTTTGACAAGCGCCAATTCATGTTGTCTCAAAAACTCACCATTCATTGTTGATATAAGTTTGTCAAATGCCTCAGCAACCTCGCTAATAGGTGTAACACCCCTTTCATCCTGAGCTCAGTGTCATAGGGGGAGCATAGGAGATGGAGAATAGCTCAACATATGGGATCGCCCCTACCTTGGGCCTCAGCCCACACCTCAACTAATTTTGCATGGTCTTTTCTTCGTGCCCTTTCCTTATCCTTCTTTTCTGGCCACATCCTAATGTTAGAGAGCCAAAAAGGATGAAAGGCTAGCTACAGCCTTATGAAGTCAACCCTTTTGTAGACTATGAATAGCCTTCTGTGGTCCTCTGCAATATTAATGCCAGTTCCTCCCTGCTGAATTGCACTGATTCAAGAACTCAACTTTCATAGTTGATACAAGTTCATCAAATGCCTCAACAACCTCGTTAATATGTATAACATCCCCCTCATCCTGTGCTCGTTGTTGTACGGGGGGCTTAGGATATGGAGACTAGCTCAACATATGGGATTGCCCCTACCTTGGGCCTCAACCCTCTCCTCAACTAATTTTGCTTGGTCTTTTCTTCTCTCCCTTTCCTTATCTTTCTCTTCTGTCCACATCCTAAGGTTAGAGAGCCAAAAAGGATGAAAGGCTGGCTTTGTGTCAGTCCTGAATGGCTTTCGTACTCCATTTGCTCTTCCCTCTATACCTTTTTTATTACCCAACTAACCAACAACCTTTGACTTCTAACATATTTTGTCCTAATCATTAACCATTTTTAACCTTTTTGCCAAAATACTTTATCATAGTGCTGTATGACCTTTAACTATAAACAAAAACAAAAATTCTTAACAGTAGGCTTCGCCTCAGGCCTTTCCCTTTCACTATATTTTGATTACGCTGACATGGCAGAAAATTTTCAATAAATAAATAGACATAAAAAGCAAGATCTTGAATTGACTTTGTGAGCTTTATCATTACTGAGATTGCAATCCTGTATCTGGTGATTGCCTACACAAGCACTGGCAGAAATGGAAAAATACACATACACATACACAAATACTCACGCGTGCGCACACACACACACACACACACACACACACACACACACACACACACACACACACACACACACACACACACACACACACACACACACACACCACACACACACACACACACAATACATTATAAATGTATATGGTTTGTGGGAACAGGATCATGATACATTATTTACCCTCTGCTTTGTAGAAAAAAATAAAATTATATAAGTGGTTTCCCACTGCCTATCTGCCAGTGTTTCTTAGAGTTGCTGATCCACATCTTGTGTAAATGCTATTTAGAAAAAGGAGAAAAATAGCTAGGAACTCTTTCACCTATTACAGTTACAAAACAAAGCAGAAAAAAAATGTAGGTGCCTCTTTGTCAAGGACAAGCAGGGGAGAAAGGGAACAGCCTTTCTTATTTCTATTACAAATGATTTTTACAGTATGTTACATGGAGGATAAATATTAAAATAGTCTAGTTCATAGAAAGTATCATAGAATGACTTGGATAACAGAAAATACTGTAACATAAAGCTAAACAATTGCTGTATTATCTAAAAGGAAAATACAAACTGCATCTTCTACCATAAACAATATATTAATATTCTATACAACAGGTCAAATTTATTGGCAAAAATCTAGTTAAATAAGACTTTTATACCTAATCCTATCACAATAGGTTACTCATTACAAAAACTACAGTAAAAGAGTATTTTGATTTAGAAAACTGCAGCAAGTTCCTTACACATAAAAGATACTGCATTTTTGCATTATGTTGCATTGCATTCAGTCCTCTGTATCTTCAGACAATAAGATGACTGACATATCAAATTACCTAAATGCTGTACATAATAGACTTTATAACCTAAAAGTGCCTTTTAAGCTAAACTTATTTTTATGTTACCAATGCATTAGAATTTTTTTTAGTAGGTACTTTTGCCCATAGATTAACTATAGATTAGCCACTATTAAACCAAGTAAACTCTTTTCATTAATAACCTTTAGTCCTTCTAACACTTAATTAGCTGCTCATGTAGGGGAATGTAAACAGGGAGTACAATAAACTGAAGAAAGTCAAAAGGCAGCGGAGGAAAAGAAAGAAAGAGAAGTTAAAAAGGAAATGAAATTAATATTACATACTTCCCTTATAACGTAATAATAAAAAAAGAAAACTCAAAGGACAAACAATGTACATAGAAGGAAGATGAAAGACAAAAGAGGAGGAGAAATATGTAAAAAGAGAAGCATGTGTTCTTGTGTGCATGTGTGTGTGTGTGTGTGTGTGTGTGTGTGTGTGTGTGTGTGTGTGTGTGTGTGTGTGTGTGTGTGTGTGTGTGTGTGTGTGTGTGTGTGTGTGTGTGTGTGTGTGTGTGCGCGCGTGTGTGTGCCTGTGTGTACACATGTACGAGTGTGTGTGTGCATGTATGTGCATGGAGAACTAAACAGACACATTAATGGAATGTGGCATATCTAATCAGTTAGTAACAGACATACATAATAATATGTAAAGCAAAGAATTACGAGCCTTAGATAAATTTCAATTTTGAATTTCTGTACCCATGTTCCGAAGGAAAATGATTTTGACCAAAATGAGATTAATGAAGTAAATATTTACTAAACCTTGTTATTCAAACAGACAAA